GGGGAAAACAAACAAACAAACAAAAAACCAAAAAACAAAAACCGTCAAATGCCTTTTATAGGTGTCTGTTTCTATACAGAGAAAAGTATAGAAGGATACATTCCAGGCTCTTAACTTTAGCTTCCACAACAAGGATTTATACAGGGGAAAGGGAAGTACTTCATATATCCCATGAAATTACAGTCATAATTTTATAACATGCATCTTTTTGGAGGAAGATGAGCTATAGCTTTCAACAAATTCTCAAAGCAATCCATGACTCAGAAAAGGTTAAGAACCACTGTTCTATATTGCTTCCCTCGACAATCACTATGGCTTCAATCAGCCCCTTGCTGGTGACACCAAAATCCAACTCTGACCTCCTCCACTTACTAGCATCATATGGAAAATACACAGACATCTCAAAACTAATATATCCAAAAGTAACCTCATTATCTTTCCATTTCTATTTTAAATATATTCCTCATCTTTTAATGTTCTCTTTCCCTTACCACCAATCTTTAATATGCACTGAGCCACCGTGCCCTGTGAACTTAATCTGTGTAATTTCTTACATGTCCCTTTATTATTTCTACTGCCAAAGCCCTAGTTAAGCTCTTATCGTCTGTGCAGAAACGAGTTAAAGTTGCAGGCCTGAGACTGCTACTCTTAGAAAGGTCTGCTTACTTGGCTGGCATCTGGGAACTTAGAGGGTTCCCACCGTTCCCTAAATGATAAGAGTGGCTCACTGTGCCTAAACTGTTAATGCTTCTATACAGAGAAAAGTTTAGAAGGACACATTCCAGGCTCTTCACTCTGGCTTCCACAAGAAGGGTTTTTATAAGGGAATGAATTCTTTCCTTCTAGGAGTCTGGAATTTTGGTATATGCTAAGTGAAGAGTACCTACAACATGACGGATCCAATAAAAACCTCAGATTTTTGGGCTCAGGTGAGCTTCCCCCACACGCATTTCACATGTGTCGTAACAACTCACTGCTGGAGGAAGTAAGCGTGTCCTGTGTGACTCCACTGGGAGAGGACTCTTGGAAGCTTGCTTCTGGTTTCTAGTGTGTGATTTCTTCTAAACTTTGCTCCATGTGCCTTTCCCTTTGCTGATTTTGTTTTGTATCCTGTAATAAATCTTAGACATGAGTGCAACTGACTGCAGGGTGAGTACTTGCTGAATCCTGCGAGTACTCCAGGAAATCATCGAAATTGGGGGTACTTTTGGAGACCCCTGACATACCACTTTACCCTTTAATTTATGAAAAAATTATAAAACACTTCCACTTTCCAGCAATGATAGACGATGACAAGAACTAGATTTATCTTAAACGAGTAAGAAACCAGAAACAATGATTTCAGACATTGGACAATAGGAAGTGGAAAACAGTGATATCTGAAAGAAAGGCAACAAATAATGGTAAGCCCTACGATTTCCCCAGCTTTTTATCTGAGAGTTTCTAGGCCCCAGTACAAGAGAGAACTCAGAACTCAGTGATAACCTGAGTTGAGAATTCAGAGCGAACGCAGTCAGAATTCAAAGGCATAGTGCCTGAGAGGGGAGAGCTAGACGGAGAGTGGAAATCTGGTCAGAGTTGCCCTGTCTTCAGCCGGGTACTGGTGAGCACAAGTGTGTGAGGAAATACTCTGTGACCTGTACACAGGCTCTGAATAAGAGCAGGTAAAACAATTCCCAAAACTTACACGAAGCCTGGAATAGTTCACACTCCCAAAAACCTAAAAACTTATGGGCCATGAGGTACTCAGAAGGCTATTGCCCAAGTAGAGGGACTAAACTAGTTTAGTGGGAATAATCCTAAACTAAAGGCTGCTCTAGTCCTGCCTAACAAAGCACAAAGGCAAGCACTGAGAGAACTGTTTCCAAGCAACTCAACTCTGTCTCAGATCAAAGCTCGAAAATATTTAAAGGAATATAAAAAAATTCAGCATCTGCCAGTATAAAATCCACAATGT